TGTGGAGGTGCAGAGCTAAGAAGACGCTGCTCCTGCTACATGGACCGGGGAGCTGGGATGGAGACTAGTTTCAAGACTAGAACGAGAAAGTGGCCAGCAAGGAAAGCCAAAGTAACAGAAAGAGGAGAGGTCTGTTCCGTGGGACACAGCACTTGCGCTGAAATCGGGGCTGAGGACGCAGAGCAGGGAGCTGCGGGGTGGCCCAGAGGAGGAGGAGCGCAATGAGGCTGCGGAGCTGAGGATGGCACTGTGGTAGTGCCAGTGGGCAGCTCTGCACCATAGCAAACGGAAACGCACTCGATGCCCGTGTGGAATAAGGCGGTAAATCATGTTGCTTATTTCCTTCCATTCATTAAGATCGTCTGCAGCTCCCTGTGCATCCCTTGCATTGCGTAGAAGCTGCATTTATTGGAAACGGGCTGCTCTAAGGCAGGGGCCGTGCCTCAGCAGCGCACCACCGCTGCCTCGCTGCGGAACAAAGAGGAACGAGTTGCATGTCCCAAGTCATTAACAAAGAGCAACAGGTTATATATATATGGTATTACCTCTACTTATTTTTTTATCTATCTCCTGTGTACCATTATACCTGAAACGTGGCTGCGTGGAGAGAGGAAATCAGGAAGTAAATTGGGAAGAGAGCAATGCAACACGAGGACTGATCGGGGAAAAAAGAAAAGGAGAAAAAAATTCAAACATCTGAGCATTGATAAAGAAAATGGAGCTACCCAGGCAATGCTACCCTGCCAGGCAGTCACCTCACATGCAGACCCTTTAATTTGCTAGCAAATTAAATTGAAATTTAATTTTCTAGCAAATTACAGCATTCCTCCTTCCTGCCCCAAAATAAAGCACTCACAAAAGCAAGTGCGAAGCACATTAAAAGCAGGTGGTGTAGTCAGCAAGACCTGGAAGCTACTACTGGTATCAAGCGGAGAACACACACAGGAGAGGCAGAGGGGCCAAAGACGGACTCTCCCGGAGCAGTGACAGCACAGAAAGGAGCCCAGCAAGGAGCTGGAGGTTTCCTCAGAGCAGAAAGCCTTAATGCTTTTCTAGAGATGACGACCACCCCTGGCCTACCTCACCCCTGGGGCACCCTCCCCTAGGGTAACCCAAAGGATTGCACGAATCTGTAATTCGGAGAACTTGTACTAAAGCACCAATATTCCCACCTCGAGGCGGGCTGGAGAGGTCGTGCCCCAAGTGCTTGCTGCAATAACTCAGCCACAGGCGATGGCTTCACCCTACCCATCCCTTGGCAAACAAGCCTGCTCTCCGTAAAAACTGCCTGCACGAGCTAAACCCACCACCCAGCGCGGCAGCTGCGGGAGGAAACGCTCCTGCCAGCTCCTCACAAACAGCACGATGTAGAGAGGAATCACTCCAGTTTTCCTCAAAACTGTAATTTTTAAATAAGGGGGAGTTGTTGGGTGGAAAGGGGGAGGCAGAGAGCAGAGCAGCACTGAGCAAGGTTTACGTGCCTGGCCAGGGAGAGCCCTGCAGAGGCTGTGGCACCAGGGACCGGACCCTGGTGACAAGAATAGCAATCCACAGCCCAGCCCAGAACCCTCTTTTCAGTCCCATCCTGACGCAAAACACACCCTCTACCTTTCCTCATTAAAGGGAGCTGAAATTCAGATTTACACCTATGAGGCACAGCCCAGCTCCCGTTAAAAGTCAGTAGGATCTTTGCACAGATTTCATGAGCGTTACTCTTTGCGTGGGACATGCCAGGTCTAACATGAGAAAGCCAGGGCTTGCTGAATGCCCCGGCGTCCCCCAGGGGTGGACAGAGCTGCTGGTTGAAGGCGATCGGAGCCTGGGACAAAGCTGCAGGTGCTTTGGGCCTCAGGCCACGCTGCCTGCACACTGCCCAGCACGGCCAAACCCACCTCGCTCCCTCCCGGAGCCCTGCGACCTGCAACCCCCTGCCTTCAGCATGGGAAATCTCCATCCAACCAAGCCGAAACACAGCAATACAACAGAAGACTACAGACCGAGACTGGAAGTTCACAGGGGTGGGAGGAATATGGTTTTCCTTTTAGCATCTCTGATTTCTCCACGCAACAGGTCCTGGCTGTTCCTCTCCAGAGCCGATGCCTGGCAGGGACACTGCGGGGAAGCTCGGTGCGCTGACCCCACCACCGCCTAAGCCAAGCAGTGCGCACCGAACTGGGACAGACGCCCAGATGCTGCTCCGCTCCCGTACCAGGGTGACGCCGGCCATCTCCCAGCCTTGCCACGCTTGAGCCAACTGGCGCTGGTGAAGCCCCAGGGCGCAGGAAGGCAGCCGGGAGGCTGGAGCAGCACGACCCCATCTAGAAAGCCTCTCTCCACCTGCTTTGTCGATGTTTTTATCCTAATGAGGTTCCCACTCCCAGAAGCACAGAAGATGGAGAGCAGGACAGCCTGCATTTACCAGCAGCTAAAAAATGAAAGAGAGCAAGAGAGAGGGAAAGCCCCGAGGAGCGCTCGGCGCGTGGTGCCTGGCACGGCTCTGCACGGGCAGCTCGGCGCAGGCGCTTCAGGAGCGATGGTGAAGGATGGGGAAAGGGGGGTTTGCTGCAGGGGAGCGGTGCGAGGAGCGGAGGTAAGAGGGGTGCTCACACGCACGCCCGGCCCAGGGGAAGGAGGGGAAAACCCGGGCCTGCGTGCCTGCGGAGAGGCTGCCCCAGGAGGAGGGAAGAGGAGGACTGTAAGTACGGACAGAGAAGCAAGAGGGAAAGACAATTTGTAAGGAAGGTACAGATCAGTCATTTAACTGCCATCAGTGCCCTCCTGCCTCACACCTCTTCTGAAACATTTTTAAATCTTTTCTGATGGAATGTTTGACATATTTAATGCATGCAGTAAAAATTAAAGTAATAGATAACTTCATATTAATCTGTACAGGGACTGACAGGCTAGATTTAATCACTTCCTAGTTGTTCAGAGAGTTAACTTATTCTAGCACGATTCAAAGGAAAGGTAAAGGATTTTTTTTTCTTTAAATCAGCCATTTCGTAGTAAGAGAAAAATGTGCCGCAGCCTTGTGTGCGTCAGTGCTGGGGGAAGGGAATACCTGCAAGAGAGCCAGAGGTGCTCTGCAAAGGGCGTGCAAATCTAAAACGCCTTGTTGCGTCTTCTAAACGGGTACAATGTAAGGTTTAAAGATTATTATCTGCCTTCTGCAAGAGAGCCAGAGGTGCTCTGCAAAGGGCGTGCAAATCTCAAACGCCTTGTTGCGTCTTACAACGTAAGGTTTAAAGATGATTATCTGCCTTCCACCTCCAGTCCATAGGCTTTGGGATCTGGGGTTCAACGCCAACCGTGAAAAGCAATTCCCGTTGCAGCCAAGCCCTCTCTAGCCTCTGCCCCCAAGGCAGGTGTCTCTTGAATGCGTGGCCTGCACCATAGCCTTGCTCTCAGCAGGGACAAGGAGCTGAGCAAGGACCAGCAAGCAGCTGTTAAAGGGTCGGGCGACCCCAGAGCCCGCGCGGCGCCCTCTCAGGCATTGCTGCTTTCTGCACGGGAGGAGGTTTGCATCGGGATTCATGCAAACGGACTTTGTGCAGCAATGCAAAAGCGAAGCCGTGGAGACGCAGTGGCTGAGCAGGTTCCTTTCCCTGAGCGCAGACCGCAGCAGTCACTTCCCAGCCACTGATCATCTCTGCCCGGCAGAGCCAGCACAGCCGCACGCTCTGTGCACTTCTAACAGGTTTTTCTCAGAAGTGCTAGGCACCCTGACCCTGTTCTGCCACTGCAGACCCCCAGCTGGCTTTTAAACGTGCTGCAGAGGCTTGCAGAGGAGCACAGCAAAGGTGTCTTGCAGGACAGGGCAGAGGCTTGGCCGCTTTCGGACTCCACAGCACCAGACACAAGCAAGGACAAACCAACCGCACCTTGCTAGTAAAAGGACGAAATGCAAATTACGGTAAAAAATGAACTTAAGTCAGTCCCTTACCCCAACCCTATTCCAACTGCAAATCCTGGCTTAGGAGGGTGCTAGGCGAGACATGCACAAGAGCACAGGGCGAGGGCCACGTCTCCCCTGCTGCAGAGCACCAACATCAGAAGGAGCTCGAGCCCATAAAAAGGGAGAGATTCAACCTTCAGCGAAGCGCTGTGGAAACTGCTTTGCCGTCAGAGACTACAGAAATCACCACGAGTGCGGAAAATGGGAGAAGGAGGTCTGTCCAAAAGTAGGGCATGGCAGGAGCGATTCATCCCTGAAGCCAGCAAGAAATAAAGACGGATACAGCCCAGCGCGCCCGCCCGGCAGCAGTGGATGCGGCAGCCTGGTACCCAGAGCCCCCGCAGCATCTTCCCTGCCGCTTCCGCCTGAGCGGCACCTCCCCACCCCACGGGCTGTGCAATGGGGGAGCGAGGCAGCCATCAGCAGTACACACACACCAGTAGCTAATTAATATTTTTAGGCAGGTACCAGTACGGGACACCAGCAGCTGCTACTAACGAACCGACAAAGGACAGATTCGCCTTTCTCTCCCTCAGTGATGGGAAATGGTTTTGGTTTTGCTTCAAATGCCACTAAGAAGACAGACAGAAGGAGGACTCTGAAGGAAAGGGAAATGTTTGCGTGCACTCAAAGGCTGCCGAAAGCTACTTCATGTGCACGAAGGTGGTTTTCTTTCTGCTACAGTACAAGTGCTTGTGCCTCAAGTATAAAACGCAAGCCTCCAAATCACACAGACGAGCTTCTTATTTTTATTTTTAAAGTGATAAATAAGGCACTGTACTTTTAACTAAAACTGCCTGGTTCCAAGTTTAAAAAAAAACCCAAGGAACGTTCAAACTGCAGAAACTTCCTTCTGAACAGCAGAGCCAGACAGGCCGACCTCTTCTCTGTCCAAGACACATCTGCCGATGCCTAAAATCACGGGCGTTATCCTTTAACTGCGGATTTTTAAAGGCTTGCTACAGCTTATAAAAGCAGCTTTAGTTAATGCATGGTAAAGGGTTACTACTATACATCAGTTTTGTACATGGCTACCGGTTCTTCGCTATTTCGGATCCAGTCGCGAGCGCTTGCTGTGCGAACAGTCCATTTTTGCCCTCAGCTTCCTCTTGCCCTGCGACCCGCTGCTCTCCTGCATCTTCTTCATGGACCTCGTCAGGGTCTTCCCACCGCTGGGCTTCTTGTTGGCCATCTTCTGCGACCGTGTGGAGGACTCCCCCAGGGGCTTCTGCTTTGGGGACTTGGCCAGCTCCTCGTGGCCAGGGGGCAGCACGGCCCGCCTGCTCGTGTTCTCCTTGCCTTTCCGCATGGGGAGCCGCACCTTCTCCAGCTGCCTTTTTGGAGCTCTCTTCTCTTTCAGAGACATTTTTCTAGCCAGCTTATTGCTCCTCTCCATGGCAGCCTGCTTTCGGGTGGCGGGAGCTTTCGCACTGACCTCCGAATGCTTTATTTTACTGGCCTTCTTGGCAGGCAGCTTGTCCTTGGTGGCGGAGCCGGACCGCTCCTGGGTGCTCCCGCTCTCCTTCAGCGTCCTCTTCTTCCTG